TTTAATCTACAATGTATTATGTACAAATATATGAATTTACATACTGGAATTATGTGGAGTTCTTTTAAAGTGATAAATAAAAAAATCAATACATGTGAAAAATATAAGGAATTCTTCCAAAATCATAAAGAAGAGAATTTTAAAGTTGGAAATGCAACATGAAGGTGGATTCCTAAATATCTCATATTCATTATAAAAGAGTTCTAGATGTGAAAACTTGTAAGAACATTTTTCTCAAAGGAATAATGTTAGAAATTCTCTACAATGGAAGAGATATTACAAGTTGGCAGAAGTAATCAATTCATCAGCAAATAGAAAATTAGATTTAAAAAGCCAATCTTAAAAAAGAAAAAAACACAGCAACTCGCCATAAGTGTCATAAGTCTTGCAGGAAGGAATGGAAAAGATCAGGGAAAACGTGACTTATGAAAGAGGAAAATGAGTCGTAAATTTCTCATTGGAAATATTGAACTGATACGGAGAGCAAGGTGAGTGTGACACATGATGAGGGGACATTTTAAATTAAAATTCTATATCTTCACAACTAATAATAAAAGTTGAATGAAGACATTTTTAAATGATGAGGAACCTATTTGGCCAGTAACAGAAATATTTTTTATAATAAGACTAGTAAAGCTATAGGTCTCTGGACTGGCCAAATAGCTCAGCGGATTAAAGTGCCTGCAAGCAGGCGTAGAGGCCAGGCGCTTGAAGCCAGGGCCTGCTGTGCAGGCCTCGCCTGCAGGGCGTGCTGAGATGGCAACTGAGACGGAGGGTGGTGGGCGCACCTGTAATCCCAGCTCTTGGGAGGCTGTGACCAGGTAGATCGCTATGAGTCCAATCTAGTAATGAGGTCCTGAACGCCCTGTAGGCCCTTCCCTAAAATGCAAAAAAAAAAAAAAAAAAACAACTCTAAGTTTCTCTATCTGGCATGTTAATGCCCCTGTTATCTGATCACCAGATGTTCCCCATAGCAGGTATCACTGATCTAAAATGCTGTTCTTTACTCATTGGTCATTGTTTGTAAATTTCCAGTGATACATATACCTCTAGGCATCAAAAATCAGGATATTTAGTCATTGGTGTACACAGCAGCCCTAGACCCACGTCTGCCACACGCGAAAATAAGTGTAGAAAGCTTTTCTGTGCTGTGTAGACTGAATAGCTGGAATGATGGTTTCAAGTATGTGGAGATATCTATATCATAACACATATATTTATATAAATGTATATATATATAAAGTGTTGCAACTTTCCTACTTAGAACAAGCTTGGCAAGGCATCAGGGACCGCGGTTCAATCCCC